TAAAGGACTGTGATGCAATAACTAACAGGAAATTATTATGTTTACAGTAGGTACTCTATACTAAGTGATAAACATTCTGATCTAAGCTTGTAGTCATCAAATTCATAAATTTTAATCCACCAAGTGATATGTATGAAACATGTTTCACCATTTTTTGTTTGTGAATTATAAAAATTGTTTTTTAGCTTTTTTGTGTTATGAAAAAAAAATCCTAAATATTCAAATCAGTTTTGAAATAATATTTAACTGTAAAGTTTTGATAGGATTTGTAAAGAAAGAAAGCTGTGTGTTATGTTTCTAGTTTATAATTGCTTAACTATATTCTTTAATGTTTAAGCAGGGAGGGATTTAAGAGGTCCAGAGTTCTTTAGGCCAACTGGGACACAACAAACACAGTACTGGTCAGAACACTATTTTTAAATCATTTGTTACAACAGCAGTTGTTATGTGTGAACACCTATTTTACAAGCTGGTGAAGCATGATTATAATTACACTTGGCATAAGAAATTAGTAATAGGCCTATTATATTTTAAACACTACATTATTTATCTAGTACCTTAGGCATTTTCAAAAATTAGAAGAGTGTATGATAATAGTATTCCAATAACAATATATTTACCATATACCAATGATATGTTTCCCTGTATTGTTATACACTTTTGTCATTTTGTAACATTTATTTAAAGTTTTGAAGGAAAAGTTCATATTTTCATTTCTGCACGGCTTGAAACACGTTTGCCTGTAAACAAAATAACCAGTTCTTTAAGCCAGTGAATCACTATTTTTGCCAAGAACTTTTTGCCTTTTGAGAATATATTATCCATGTTTTAACTTTCAAGCATTTCCCTTACTTTTTGCAAAGGCCTTGGTTGAAATCTTGTTATGGTTACATGTGATTTTGTCATTTACTAATGAAACACAGCTTTGAAGACAACTATAAAGAAAATTTAAATGTGATTAAAGTAATAATTAGACTATCACATAGTAGTAAATACATACATATATGTATATATTTAATTAAGAAGTGGTTTTTTTATAGTTTCTGTTAAAATTCCTTTCAGTTACATTCATTTGTGAATCATGGAAGTATTTGTATGTTAAATTATATATGTTTGAAACTACAGAAACTATTCGTAATGAGAAGATAACTTGAGATTAGATAAGCTTATATAGTTTAGAGAGAGGTTGAATGGGTAACAAGGAAAACTATTACCAAATTTAACAGGGTAATAAATGTAAAATGTATGGACAAAGTTTTGTCGAAGAGAGTTTTGCTAAGTGTGTATGGGTCCAAGAATGTGATCAACATATATTAACCAATCTGTTGATACTGTGATTTAACCAGGTAACTAGCTGTTTTTTTTTAATACTTTGTTGAACATTGCAAGTTTGGCTATAAGATAATATAAAAAATATTAATATTTGTATTAAGAGGTAACAAGTTTGCATAATATATTCTAAAGAACTTCTATGCACATATGCATAGATAGATCTTAAATCATTACTATGAATTAGACAATAATATGACTAACGTTAGAGTCTAACTTCTAATGTGTTAACAATATCTAGATGATCACTGAAGTTATTATTGTTTTCCTTATTCTTAATTGTTATGGCTGATTGTAAATAAGATATTTAGTAACACAGTATTATCAGGGTATGTTTTTTATCAGAAGGCCATGGAGAAGTTCTGGAAAATCTAATTTCATTGTTTCCACAACTCCAATTTTTATTGACAAAAGCTTTACTCCCATTACTTTTATCTTTTACGAAAAACAATCTCAATTATATGACACATAAAATGGGAAATGTGTTGACTTGGAAACACTGATCAGTAACAGGCTTTGAACTATGTACCTCTGCAAGCAAACAGCTGTAACATAATGTGACTATTGTTGGTGTAAAATAAGCTTAAGACTTGTGTGGCTGAAATTTAAAATCATTAAATTGTTGATACATGTTAGAATTGTTTTGTTTCTATCTTCAGCATAAACCCAATCAAAAATAATTAACAATGTTTCTAGCTTAAGTTCATCCATTATTGACTTACTGCTTAAAATTAGTAATAACAACAGAGAGGGAGATGCAAGCCAAATAAACCTTATTTCCACACATAAAATAGTGAAGTATCTAACATTAACCTCTTCTGTGTTGGTTGTTTTTTGGAAATGAGCTAAAAAAAAATCAGTTTTTTTTTTTTGATAGCTTATTCTTATACATGAATGAAGCAAAAGTTCTTTTATGATCTTTTATTATATTTCTACACATAATATACTTGATAAATAAATTGTTACATATCTGTATTTGTACATAATGTATATTATTTCAGTGTAACTACACTAAAGAATAGGAATGTTTTTCTCTAGTGATTATGATATGTAATTCAGAATAAATCTGATAGAGATCAGCACAAACAACATCTCAGTGCCATCTATCAAGCACTGATTGTAATATGTGATAACATGCAAATAATTAAAAATATGTTGAGAAATGATTTGCCTGAATTAACTTGGGCAATTATATTTTTGAAATGTGGAGGGTGCCTGAGTGATTTTGGGTAAATCACAGAAGGGGTTAACGACAAGTGTGTCAGCTTATATGTACCTGATTATCACCTATTATTTATACAGTGGTCAATCTAGACTGGAACATTTTGATTTTGGACCCCATTACTAGATATTTAGGGGACAATCTTCTGCTGATGAGGGACAGTAAATATCGTAAATACAGTATTATGATGTATGTTATTTTCTGTGTTCCTTTCTTTCTTTATTTCAGATCTAAAATGGTTCAATATTTTACTTTTAATCATCATACCCTGTGATGACCGATACACATGTCAGCACCTTTGACTTTGAATAATATTGTTCAAAACATTTATTGTTTTTTTATATCATTTGAATGTGGGTATTTGTTATTGGTCATGAATACTGCTTTGAAATATAAAAAGTATTATTGACCAAGAATTTCAGTTATCTGATAAGTTTTTTGTTTGGTGGAATTGCAGCATTAAACTGAAAAAATATTTAAAAACAATGGATAGAAATTGTGTGGGAAAACCACAGTATATAGTATTGTTAATGAGCTCAATAATTTGAGTGTGAACATGAGTGCTGACTTGTCAACAACTTTGAGAAGATAGAAAAATAGGCATTTACTGTTCAAATACCCCATTGCTCTTGCTAATTCGACACTTATGCATAGTGGCATGTCATGATTTATTTTCAGCAGTCAGTCAGGTACAAGTTGACTTGAAAACTGTGTTAAGTAAATATTTGGTTTTGGCTCTGCCTACATGATAGAGGGTATTTTAGCTGTGGCCAAAGTGCAGTATTTTAGGGAAAGACTTGTGGTTTTATAGCTTCTTTTAAAATAAGTATACTTAGTGGGGATTGTAAACGATGAAGAATTTGTTAGCATTTTGTTCAGTAACTTGAAGTCATTTAGAATTTATTTTAATGGCTTGTTTCATTGTTTTTTTTGTTTGTTTGAATATTTTGTTTTTTATAGTTCAGGTGTTACCGTTACTGCTAGAAAATTGTGAACAAACATTACTGCATTGTTTATAAAATATAATAAAATATTAGTCATTTAATTTTGAAGGAGTTTTGTTAAAA